CAGCAGCAGCAGCAGCAGCAGCAGCAGCAGCAGCAGCAGCAGCAGCATTTCTCTGGGCTCTAGTTTACTGCATGCATGGCATGTACCCACCCACCCTGCTGTGCCCGAGCTGCTTTAAAAAAAAAAAAAATCCTGAGGATATCTAGTGCTTTTGCAGTGCAGCAGCTCTGGAGTCTGAGGTTCTTTTGCAGGGGCAGGAGAAGGGCCATCATTCCGAGCAGGCAGCCTTCCTGAAATTCTACATCCAGGGTGGAAAGGGAAGAGAGAACAAAAACCAGAATGCATGAAGCTGTAGCAAAGAGCAAATGAAAGACTGTGAAGAAAGCGGGAGAGAATCATCCATGGGCACAGCATGGAGTAGGGAGTGTCACATTTGTATGTGCACCCTGGCAGCCCTCTGCCACCTGACCTCAGGACCAAGTCCTGCCCCTGACTCAGTCATGGGGCACAGGTGTCATGGGCCTTTCCTGGGTGTGGGGAATTCATGGCTCCATCGGTGGACTAACCGCACGTCTGAACAAGCTGGTTTCTGAACCTGTGGCTTTGTCACTGAGATGCTGCAGGAGCTGATGGGTGGGGGGAGAGGAGACAGTCACCCTTGGCTTTGGGACACAGCATGGTCAGCATCCCAGGAAGTCAGTCTAGGCAGTCAGGCCAACAGGTCAGTCACCAGAAGCCTCCACAGGGCTCCAAACTTCACCCTGTATGTCAGCACTATAGAGTCACGTTCAGATTCAGGTCCTGTCCAGGAGGTCTCCAGTGAGATTACATGTCTAACATGCTGCTGCTGCTGCTGTTGCTGCTGCTGCTGGCCCGCATGCCACACTTTATGCATCCATTTCTCTTTCAGGGTGAGTTTGGGGTAAAGCTGTTTTGTGGGTGGGGTGCGGACCTGTCTCTCAGCTCTTTGCTTCTTTCTCTCCCTCCAAGGACTCTGCTCTCTCCCAGCTGCCCCCATCCCTGCTCCGGAGACTCTACAACCGCTCAGTCTCTCTGGAAGGATTGCTCAAAGTGCTGAGCAAGGCTAGCACAGGTAGGAGGAGGCTCTAGAGAGGGAAGGGCAAGGGGCAGAGGTCTGAAGATTAGACCAGCCTGGGAAATTGCTTTGTGTGGGAGGGAGGGAGATGGGGGTTGTCTGTGTTGATGAAGGCAGTGACTTGAATTCCTCTCTTTTACACACTTGCCACCTTCACAGGACCCAAGGAGACATCACTTCCACAGAAACGTGAGTAGCTTGTTGCCTTTGAGTGCTGACCAGTTGCCCAAAGTTCTGCAGGCATGGGTTGGGGGGATGGGCCATTTTGGCTGGCCTCTTCTCAGCTGGTGCAGACAATACGCCAGCTGCATCTGCTTAGCCAGTCTTTCCAGGCGGGCCATGGCACAGGGGAACAAGGAAAACGAAAACACAGGTGTGAGGGGCATGGGGGATCATCCTTCATTGTCTGGGAACTAAGAGACTCTCCTGGTGACAATGAAGATTCTAAGCCAGGCGCCTGCTGTGTGAGGGAATAGATGAGATGTGGGTGTGTGTGTGAAAAGAGAAGATGGGCAGAGAGATGGGCATACACCTGATGGCTGAGGAGTTCAGGCTCCAACGAGACAAAGATATGGTGACACATTTGTAACTTCAGAACTCAGGAGATTAAGAAAGAGGATGGAGAGTGCAAGGCTAGCCTGGGCTACACAGCATGTTCCAGGGAAGCCTATCCTACACAGACCTGGTAAGGGTGCAGACAAGAATTGGAGATAGGGAACCAATATTCCAGTCTCAGAAGTCTTGACACGTATGTTGACAACACTGGCCCTTTCTTTCAGGTGACATGCATGATTTCTTTGTGGGACTTATGGGCAAGAGGAGCAGCCATCCAGGTAGGGTACACCAGGAGGAGGGTCTGGGTACTGCTAAGGATGCGTCAAAAGTGCCTTCCAATGTCACCAAAGAGGAAAATGTGCTTTTTCTCAATTGTAGTGTCTGTGGCCCTTTCTTTCTCAGTCAGCTCAGATATGCACTCACCGTCAGTCACCCCCTGATCACAGAGCAGGACAGCCCTGCCTGGCTGACAGAGGGACAGAAGGCTCTGTCTCCTCCCCATCCCTCACCTCTGCCTTTTATGGCCAGCCCTTCACTGATTGGCAAGAATCTGTCCTAACTCTGCTGCTTACTTTACCACCAGACACTGCCACTGATGTGGCTGAGAATGCCCCCAGCTTCGGCACCCTCAAATAGGCCCCCGGTGCAGAAAAGGTAAGCACTATTGGCTGGGGCAGGGATGGGAGAGGTTGGAGCTGTCAGCTGTAGTTTTCTTAGGCTATCCAGGCATACACCTTTTCCCTAAAACACAGATACCTCGCCAGTGCCCAGCACATCAAGTGTCTTGCACAGTGATGCCCAGAGATACACACTCTGCTGTCTTTCTCCGGTGGCATGGACTCTGATGATTATGAGCAGATAGAGTGGATGGTAGGAAACAGGGAAAGGAGGCCTGTGGAGCTCCTCCAGTGGTCAGCTGTTGTTTTGGACAGTCTTCTTGTGATCTATACAAAAGACGGTGAGGTCATCTTTCATTCTCTGAAGGCCTGATTCACAGCCAAATGTTTGCCTACTAAGCAGGTTGAACTGCACAGAGCTACAGCCTCAGAATACAGTCAGGGACAGTTGTGATTTATGAAGAGATTCAGGGACGATAAAAGTCTATCAAACAGCCGGAAACCACATCTTAGCTCCTCAGTGCAGCAGACTGTATTAGAGCACAGCCTAAACTCAATCCTGGATCTTCCTTTCTTTCGTGTGTCACCGTGGCCAAGGGACTTGATGCTGGGCCTCAGTCTCCCCATCTGGAATATAAGCATGGGGATAAAATCTCTCAAGGTTGTGGTTCTACAGACAAAGCTTACTGAGTCATCTCTACTATGGCTCCTCTGGTCTGGGAGCTGGGTGTTAGGGAGGGTGGTAGAGAATGTCCTTATGTGTCCCCTGGCTGGCTTTTATCTGACTGCCAAAAGCCATCTAGGCCAGACCTCAGGACTGAGTGGGCTGAGATTCCTCACTCATCCACCAGTGTGAAAGTCCCTCAGGGAAGTCTAGTCAGACACACAGAAGCTTCTGCCTTGACACCGTCCACCCACCCATGGCAACAACTGATGCCTTCCTCTTTGTGGTCTCTAAAGAAAAGGAAGACAAGGCATGATCAGGGATTTGGGAAGCTGCTGCAATCCTGCACAGCCTCTGGTCTCTCTCCCCTTGCTCTGGGAAGATGGTCACTGGTCTTGGGGTAGCCAGTCTGAGACCCAAGAAGCTGATACCCAAGATTCCTGATACCACCTGTTCATGCCTCCCTAGGACTGGGTCTGGCCCCTATTTACTATTGGGTGAGAGGGCACGAAGGGCTGTAATACCTGCTGATTACATGGTGCTTACCATATCATTTTGCTCTCATTAGATGGTTATTTCAGGCCTGCCGATGGGCAGATAATTATTTGGCTAGCTATATTTGGGTGATATACTCTCCTGTAGCGTTATACGCTGGCCATAAAGATAATTGCAGTGCAATTTTACCATAGTATTTTATACCAATGGTTAAAAGCAAGTGCATTGTGGAAATCTACTTTCAATATTTGCTGGTGAATCCAAACCCCTTCAGAGGGATTGAGACAGTAATTGCAGCCTTCCTAATCTCACCACCGATGGTGTTCTAAGCCTGTTAGGTGCCACACATGGGGCATACAGTCCACGGGGGCTAGCATTTAAAGGTGATTAGAAGAAGTGGATCAACACAGATGACTTTGTTATCCTGTTTCATTCACAAGAAATTACTGAAAACGAAAAGTCATTTAGAACCCATCTGGGAAGACTGAGTTAAGTGGGACAGGGCCAGTTGCTGTGGATGGGCTGTGTGTGCCAGCCTCCTGGGAGCACTGGGTGATATAAACTGGCACTTCACCTTCCTGCACGCACTCCACAGACCATGACTCAGTGCTTATCGCATCACGGAAGAGGCAAGCACCTGCTCCCGCAGATAGTTTTCAGCCCAAAGGATACTGGGACAACTAGAGTTAATTTTTCCTTCTGCAGAGGTTGCCAGCCCGTGTTTCCTCAGTGGGTGAGAGAGTGGGCATTTTGTAGGACGAAGATGTGATTTTAAAGTTTTGTTTATTTTTGTCTTTAGGGCTGTACTTCTGAACAACAGGACTGCATCACAGGGCCCACTGCATGCTCTCCTGCTTCCTTTCCTCATTTCCTGCCTGTGAGACCCTCCTGTGGAGACTTTCCTACTCAGCATGAAAGTTACAAATGAATGCTCCCATGGGCACTGCATGTGTCCTGCATTAAAAATACAATATCCCCTCTTCAACAATAAAGGGATTTTATAAAGGAGTGATAGATTGGTTGGTGAATGAGTGGGCTTTTCCGTAAATACATATACACAAAAAATATGATACAGGGCCTGCAAGATGGTTCAGCAGGTAAAGGGGCTTGCTTGCCACATGGGCCTGATGACCTGAGTTTCAATCCCTGAAATCTACGACGATGAAAGGAGAGAATCGCCTCTCAAAGATTGTCTTCTGACCTCCACGTGTATGAACCACTTTTCTCACACTCACACACACACACACACACACACACACACACACACACACACACCACACCAAAACAAAAACACTAAACATGATATTTAAATGACACATCTTTATTTTGGATACATATTAATTGCAATTAACATCACATTTGCTGATTAGAAGAACAGAAGCTATGCCCCAGTGTGGGGGCACACATCTGTAACCCTGGCAGGAAGATCCAGTCTTGACCACAAAGGGAGACTCTGTTTCAGGAAAACGAAACCAAAACCAAACCACCCCCAAACTGGATAGTTCCTAACAGCTGAAAACCTTCACAGCCATTTTCAGATAGAGAGGAAACAGACATTCTGATTGGTTGGTCTGTGTTTCTCGGCAGGGCATGGAAAAGTTAAATTAACAACTCCCCCATTTTGTAAGTAGGGGGCTTCTAAAGACCTTTTTTCCTCTCTCCAAATGTTAGCGTGGGATCTGGGCATGATGGTAACCATTGCTTTGTGGCTGTTTCCCCCGGGGTTACATGGGATTATTACTGTCTTCAGGTCTTCCTCCTCAGAGGAAGTTCTAGTTTCCAAATGGGTCCCCCTTTGACTGACAGTTGCACAGTATATGCAGGGAAAAGAGAGAGAGATCCCCATTCTCACAGGCAGGTCAAAAAACAACTGCACTCTGCCCACTGTGGTGCCACATGCCTGTAATCCCAGCACTCAGGTAGAAGCATGTGGATCTCTAAGTTGAGGCCAGCCTGGTCTACAAAGGGAGCCTAGGGGAGCCAGGGCTGCCCTGTCTGTGTCTCGACACCCCCACCCCCAAAAAAGAAGGTAACTGTACTCAGTGGTGTTGAGGGCTATAGTTGAGAATGAGATATTGAAGTCTTCTGTGACAACCTCTCCCTCAACCCCAAGGAAAGGGGGACCATGGGAGGTCGTTGGGGAGGGTCCTTAGGAATTGTGATGGATGCTGAGGTGTATTTCTTCACAGTTGCTGGCTTCTGCAGGTGGGGTGGGAAAGGATTAAGTAGTCTCTGAGAGGCTGGCTGTGCGCCAATGAGGGCAGCACAGACTGTAACTGATGTCTTCTTTTTGGGTGGCTGGCACAAGGGTGAAATGGTCCTGGGAGGAATAGGAAGCATTGTATGAAATTCCCAAATGATCAATAAAAATGTTAGAAAAAAGGTGACTGCACTCCAGATTCTAGAGCCATTCCCTAGAAGTCATCCATGTGAGACCTTTCAAAACGAGCTGTCTGCATGGTATTTAAGACAGTTCTTAAGGGTCTGTGAGAATTTATCAGGGCTGGGATAGCCCCAAGAGTCAGTTCTGCTCAAATCTGGAGACCAGCTGAGCTGCGACAGTTGTCGGCCAAGTAGAACATAAATGTGGAGAGGTTGCTCTCTGGTGGGGCTAACAAATATTACAGTGCTGGGATCTCAGGGGGGAATCAGTTTCTCTCCCTCCTCTCCCCTCCCTCGTTCATCACTCTGTAACCCAGTCCAGGCAGGCCTTGAATTCACTATATAACCCAGGCTGGGTCTCAATTCCCCAAATCCCTGTCTTCTAAATTCTGGGTTGACAGGCATTGGATACCACACCCATATTCTCAAATTCCTATTTACTGTACTAAGAACATCGAGACCCTCTCTCTCCTGTGATAAGGAGATTGAGGTCTACAGAGGGCCTCTCCTTGTACGACATCCCTGTCTTCCCCTCTTAGCTTGTGCACACGTACCCTTGTGTGGTAATTTACTTTAATAACACTAGTAGTAAATACTCTACACTTTGGTCTGCGCCTTCCAGGTGGTTTGTCAGCGGAAGCTGACTGGGCTCCACACTCCAAAGATGACAAACGTAATATTTATCCTTCTAAATGGTCTAATATTTGTGCTAATAAAGACACGGGAGGTGTAAACTGAGGTAAAAACCTGCTAGCTCAGGGAGGTAACTTTATTTTCTGAACTATATATAAAATACATATTTATAAGCCTGATTCTACAATTGCTAGCTCTTTAGAAATCTTTTTACCAGTGTCATTCTGAGATAGTTTACCTTTCTCTTGAGCTCCCCCAAACCCAAGAGGGCTCCTTAGTTCTTTCCTAGAATTCTGTTTTATCTGTGTCCTGCTAGCTGCTGCTCTGTTCCTGCAAGTCCAGAGGAAAAAATTCCTCTCTCTTACAGGGAGCTCTTCTAAGCCAAAAACAATTAAGTTTTGTATGTACAGTAATTAAATATCCTGCAACAGACTAAGGCAGCTGTGAGAGGCTGAACAGATCTTTCGAGTCCTGTGCCTTGTCTTGCCTTGTGCAGCTATGGGCACTGGAGCTGTCTGTTGGAATATAGATAGCATCAACCTTCAAGTGACTCTTCCATTGCAGAGCAAAGTGAAGTACTCCACCCCAAACTATAAGAACAGGTTGCAACGGCTGTTGTGTGAACTTTTGTGGGAGACTTATCTTTTCACTCCAGATAAGTCACCAGTGGCAGACCAAAGAAATAACTCCATTCAAGTCTAGTGAGCCTAATTTAATTAGGCTCACTTACAGAAGTATGCGTAAGAGGTAATGTACAGGAGCATGAGAGAGGGTAACTTACAGGGAGTGGGTGTCCTCCACCCAGCAACTCTTAACTGCTGGCTAGTTTCTTGTCACAAGGTTGAGTCGCCTGAGAGAACCTCAACTGAGAAAATGGCTCCTGGAGACCAGGCTATGGGTCAGCCTTTGGGTCATTTGCCCATTGAGGATCTATGTGGGAGGGACCAGCCCACTGTGGGTGGTTCTACCCCTAGGCAGGAGGTCCTAGAGTAGAAGAAGCAAGCCAGTAAGCCGTGGTCCTCCATGGTCTCTGATTCAATTTCTGCCTCCAGGTTCCTGCCTTGTCTGCCTTTCAGAGACCATAAACTGTAAGCCAAATAAACTCTTTGCTCTTTAAGTTGCTGTTGGTCATGGTGTTTTACCACAGCAATACACACCCTAAGAAAGACAATACCTATATACCCTGGAAAGGGATGCGACCTCATGAAAGATCCCCCCACCAACCGTGACAGAAATTAATGAGTCCAATCTTATGCAGACCTAGCCAGATACTGAAAAATTCAAGAGGACAATTGCCTTGTCATGCTGTATTTCTCTTGTGGTTATCCTCGGTCTACTCCTTGGGTAGGGAATCTTATGACCTTGTTTCTGTAGCTGGTGACCTATGGCCTAGTTCTTGGTGACCTTGGGATGGGGTTACTAGTTCCTGATGACTTTAGGGTGACCTCATTTAGGCCTAGTTCCTGGTGACTTTCGGGTGTCAGGCCTGGTTCTCTCAAAAGTAAGCTGTATTTTGGGGTACACCCAGGATTGGCCAGCTGGTTGGCAGTGGCTAAGTGGGAATTTGAGAGAGCAGCCCCTGTTGGCCTCTTGGAGAGATAACGTGCTCACAGGGATGAGAGGGTTGTCAGTTATATATTGTTAGAAAAATACAGTGAGGACAGAAACAATGGTAAAAACTTGCATTATGTGAATGGGGTTGCAAGCAGTTTATACCAGATCTAAGAAACGGGTCCTTACTCTTAATTGCAAATAGAAACCTTATTTTGCAGACACTTAAAACAGGAACTTCAGGCACCTGGTGCAGTGGTGCACCAGGTAATCCCAGCAGTAGGGGAGACAGAAGCAGGCAGATTGCTGTGAGTTTGAGGCTAGCCTGGTCTACAAATGAGTCCAGGACAGCCAAAGTTACACAGAGGAACTCTGTCTTGAAAAACCAAAACCAACCAATCAACCAACTCCCTCTCCCCAACAACCAACCAAAAAAACTTAGGGGGCTGGAGAGATGGCTTAGTGGATAAGAACACTGTCTTCTCCTCCAGAAGTCCTGAGTTCAATCCCCAGCAACCACACAGTGGCTTACAACCATCTATACAAGAATCTGATGCCCTCTTCTGGCATGCAGGCACACATGCAGATAGAGCACTCATACATAAAGTAAATTAAAAATAAAATCTTAAACAAACAAATAAACAAAAAACCCCTGTTTTGATCTCACCTCAATTCCCTGAGTCCTGGAGGGGCTTACTGTAGACATCTTAGTCAGGACAGAGCATTCAGTAACTGCTTACTCTCAGCTTTTACCAGTTGACTCTTCGAAGTTAACCACAGCCCACAGCGAAAAGCAGCAACCCTGACCAAGGACAACAGCAACAATAAAATATAGGCACAAACATAAATGTTTAGAAGGCAGTTTGAGAAAAGGGAGTGATGAGGTCATGACGGTGAATCAGAAACAATGGCTATGAGACAAGGAGTTTTGTTGTAAGGAAGTCAAGGTAAAAAGGCACAGAAAGGGAAATAAAGAGAAAGAGCCCTAGAAAGCAGCAACAGGTGGGATTTTTTCTGCAAAGAATCCAGGGCACACCCCACTATACCAAGCAATGTGAGCTGAGCAGGACCCTGCCAGGCATAGTTACACCAGTGTTAGTTCATACTGCTGCAAACTCAAAACCAAGGCTGAATTCATCTGACCCAGAGAGGAAAAGTCCCAATACAAACACCTCAAAGAAAGAATATTCTCTGATTATCATAGTTTCATGTACTAGGTCATTAAGGCCCCTATCTGAATGCTATGCCTCAGATTTTGCCTCTCTCTGAATTAAAGGTTGGACTTGAAAGAGATCTTTTTTCACTCCTTCACCTTCTCCTCATTGTCCAACTCTTCCACAGGTTTCAGGTTTTAGGAACTCACAGTGGAGTATCAGCATAGGCAGACTTTTTGTTTGTTTTTCCAGACAGGGTTTCTTTGTGTAACCTGGCTGTCTTGGAACTAGCTCTGTAAATCAGGCTGGCTTCAAATTCACAAAGATCTGCCTGCCTCTGCCTCTGGAGTGCTGGGATTAAATGTGTGTGCCACAGCTGAGACAGGCTTTTTGTGTAGCTCAGGCTAGCTTCAAATTTGCAATGTACCTGAGGATGACCTTGACTATCTGATACTTTTATATAAATAGACAACATGATTGACTGTTACATGGTATGGTTAAAGGGAAGGTTTTTATTGTAGATATGAAAGAGGGTGAGGGGGGAGAGGGAGGAGAGAGAGCACAACAGACAGAGGCAGCTGGAAGCATCCAGAGCAGGGCGGGGGTAGAATGAACACAGCCAACAGACTTAGCCATGAGAGAAGTAGGAATAGAACAGAGTGAGAGTGAGAGTGAGAGAGGGAGAGTGAGAGTGAGAAAGGGAGAGAGAAAGAAACAGTGGGGGAGCAGAGAAGAGATTTAGAAGGGCTATAAAGAAGATGAGTAGCAGGGGGAGGGAATTTAGGGTAGAGGATATGGGGAGAAGAGATAGGACACTAGCATGGACCCTAAAATGTGTAACAGGAACTTGTGACACTGGGGACGCCTGGAGGCTAGCATGCTCTCTGGCATGCTGACAGGCAGCACAGATAGCCGTTAGTTCCTTCTGCCAAAGATAAGGGAAATTACTTCTCTCGGTAGAGGGGAACAAGCTGCACAAGTCCCTGAGGAATGCTGATATTGACCTAACTGCCAGAGATCCTCCTATAGCCAGGTGGAGCCAATTTCTGGATGTTTGGACTACCTTTTGGAATCTTGGGAAGTGGAGTGTCCTTCACATCTAACAAGTTCTGTCTTCACCTCTTGAATTCTGGGATTACAAATACACAACACCACAAGTGGCTTAGGTGGCACTGGGGATGGAAACCAGAGTCTCACACATGGTAGGCAAGCATTCTACCAACTGCGCCAAGTCCTCAGCCCATAGTAAACTTTATCCTGTTTTCCCCAACCATATAAAATTGCAAGCAAGCAACCTCCACCCCTAGTTCTGTGGACTCAGAGGCCAGTGCAGGGTTAGTACCTACATGTCTTTTACTCACAGTTCCTCCCTGGGTGGACAGCTGAGGCTCAGTTGTGTGGCAAGTTGCCCAGGATTATGACCATGCACTTGATGCCACAGCTTCCAACTCCTGTTCCATGTGGGCTACTGTCAGGTCTGTAAAGCGTCTGACAGTCACACTGGTGGTGTCCTTGCAACTTGGGTTGTGGAAGGCTCATTCATCGAGGAGGCTTGCCACTCTCCATCACTCTCCATCCCATGAAGACAGCAGTGCAGATACAGCAAGAAGACATACCCTTGCACACCCTCATCCAGCATTAGGGGAGTGTAAACTGGTGTGGCCACTTCTTCCAGGCAGAGTTGAGCAGTTCCTGAGTGGGGAGTGAGGACTGAAAGAAAATAAAAAAATAACCCCCCCCCCACACACACGAGATGAGTTTGAGAAGGCTGCCAGTAGAAACTGTCACCCCCGTGCTTTATTCCACAATTACTTTTTATAGTCAGAGGAAAGCACCTGGATACAAATGAAGGGGTTCATTGAGAAGTCAAACTTGTTTACCTGACCACTTGTCTGTGAGATCCTCACATAAATAAAAGGAAGTGAACTTGGCAAAACATCCTGCCTATCCCTGTCTCCAGGTGAAGGTCAGGGTGAAAACATGCTTTTGGGGAAAACTCAGCAACAAAGCAGACTGAAAAACAAGCAGTTCTCCACAGAACTCACTCTGTAGACCTCCAGGCTGGAAGTTTCTTAAAAAGTAAAAATAGAATTAACACATGACCTAGTAGAAATACTTTGTTTGTGGTTATTGCTTGCTCTCTCTACTCACAACACCATGGGAATGGAATCAATATAGAAGTCTATCAGCTGGCAGGTAATGAAAATGTTGTATACAATTAGCTTTTATCCAGCAGGAAAGAAAAGCAGAATTATGACATTTTGAGTAAAAAAAAGGATGGAATTGGTGAGTACATTAAGAGAGGTAACCCAGGCTTAGAAAGACAAACATTACACATTTTCTCTTATTTGTAGGTCCTTCTAATTTCTATGTATTTGTATTTAAGTGGGAGCGTACAGAGAGGTAAGGAAACTAGAAAGGGACTCACTCAGGAGAGAACAAAAAAAAGCTTTAAGGGAGATTGGTGAGGAGGATCTGAAAGTGGAAGAATCCTAGTAATGGAAGGGTTTATGCAAGAATGGAGAACAGGGAGATGGAGGAAGGGAAAGGTGATGGTGGAGGGTCAAAGAAAACTAAATAGATATGAGAACGTCATAAGGAAACTCATTAATTTGTAGCTAATTAGCAAAGAGGAGGAGGAAGACAAGACCTTTCCCAGAAATCAGGGAGGGGACAGGGCTTCTTAAACACAGAGGTCAATGGGCCTATTGTGCTGCTCTGTGTCTATTGTAGCTGCTGACAGTTCAAAGGGCAGCATCCTTGTCTCCCAGAGGACAGACTTGGCTAATAAAGCCTATGTATTTTGTGCATTTAGCACACCACTTGCTTTCAGTGTCATCTCCCACCTGGTAGTGGGAAGGAAAACACCACTCACCAAAGTAAAGAATTACTGAACAGCCAAACCAGCTTAGACCAGTCAGCAACATCCGCGCCCTCCCCTTCTCATTTATCCACCAAGAATTATTAAATTCTGCCATGTGCCTCCACCAGGAGTTATGCCTGGCTGCCCATTCTCCCCAAGGAGGAGAGACTCACTCATGGGAAGGTGGTGGGTTTCTTCCCTGTGGAGGAGCCAGACTAGGGTGTCTAGGCTGCTAAGGATGTAGGCAGGGGGGAAACTTTTGGTTTTATGGCTAGTCTTGAGCAGGAACATTTGATGAGAGGATTCAAAAGAAGGGTAAAGGCCAGCGATCAAGTTCTAGTCAGGAAGACACACCAGTTTAGGATCTGACGTGGGCTATCATGGTCCAGGGAATCCTGTGACTCCATCTGGCCATCTAGGAGGAAGGAGGATCAGTTTTAGACTATGAGAAAGAGTTTCCCAGGGATCTAACCTGAAACACCGCGTTCGTTCACCCCCACCCCCCCCCCCCCCCGCCCCATCTACACACTCACACTGTCAACAGGCTTTAGAAAGCACCTATACCCTCTGGGCTAGGAAGGGTGGCAAACAAAACTCAAAATAGGGACTCTTGCAAAACCAGATTCCTGCCTCCGGAAAGCTCACCGGAGACACGAATTAAGCAAAACAAGTGCACAACTTTCTGTAAGAAGGATGTGTTCAACTTGGATTTTCCCTCTTCAGGCACCTCAGCGAGGGGCTCCGCCCGGCCGTCGTGGGGCGCTGCTTCCTCCCGTGCGGCGGGGGGCGCTGCCTCCTCCGGGACGGCGGGGGGCGCTGCGGGCCGGGCGGCGGGGGCGGCCCGGGCCGGCGCGGCGAGCGGCTCGGCGGATGGAGAGTCTGGCCGCGGCCGGCGGCGCCGCCTCCTTGTCGGGCCGGGCACGGCGGGCCGGGGCCTTTGTGTGAGGCGGTGGCGACGGCGGCGATGGTGCTCGGGTCCCGTGGAGCCGGGTAAGCGCGGTCGGGTGAGGGCTGCCTCGGGTCGAGCCGGACTCCCGCTCGGCCTTCCCGTCGCCCTGGCCGGACGCGCCCCGCTGGGGTTCTCAGCCGGCCGCATTCTCCCTCCGGGCGGCCGGGCCGCGGCTCCCCGGCCTGCACTCGGCCGGCTCCCGGGCTGCTGGCCTGGGTCGCAGGAGGCGGCGTGCGTTGTCTGGGGCGACCCCCTGGCCGGAGCGGCGCACCCCCCGCCCAGTCCAGCCCCTGCCTCCGCGGATCGCAGGGCAGACCTCGGCGCCGCCACACGGTTGGGGCGCACTCCTAGCAAATTACAGATCTACAGGGTGCCCGGAGCCTCCCACGGTGGAGGAGTGACCATCAGGGCGCGGGAGACTGGCGGTTGGTACACAGCAATATCCAGACGAGTTCTGGAGCCCGGAAAAAGTTGGTAATTGTTGGTGCGATGGAGAAGGGCTGTGCTGCTCAGGGCGAGTTGTGAGACGTACAAGCATGTGACAAGCTGTACTTCCGAGGTGCGCAGGAGCCGAAAGGGGGAAAACTGATGTTAAAGAAGGAATCTTTCCCTTGCATAAGGCATCCAGTTGTTAGTATAATGTTGGTAAAGACAAATGCAGCGTACTTAAGTAATGTTAAACACCACATCTGTGTTCGCTTTGCTTTCTTCTTTGGTTATGAATTTAGCTTCTTCCACAGAACACACTGATGCGGTGAAATCAACATCTGGATTGGCTCTGGGAAAGGCCAGAGAGTAGGCATGTAGCCTATGAAGGGCGAGATGGGGATTCAAGAGGGTGAGATTTTGAGCTTGGTCAGGTGGCTCATATCTGTAATCTAACATTTGGGAAGTAGAGGCAGGAGGATCGTGAGATCAAGGCCATCCTTAGTAACAGCAATTTCAAAGTAAGAAAGGAGGTTTATTTTGAGATTTGAAAGGACAGCTATGATAGACAACTAAAAGTGCTAGCGTTCTCTCTTCCTCATTAGGTGATGGAGCATTGATAATGCTGTTCAAGTATGTTTGTGGCATTTGGCATCATGAGGAAAAAGAATAGACTTCATAACAGAAGAAAGTTTGTATAGAAAGAAGTTAATAAAGAACCTGAGCCCGCTGTTTTGTTGGTGTAGAGGATTGTGCTCAACAGAAAGTCTCCCGCTCAGCTGGAAGAGTCCTAGCTTGACACCTACAGCCATGCGTCTCTTTTTAACAGTCTGGCGTTATAGCCCAGGCTGTCCTAGAACTCTGATTTCTCCTCCACCTAATTCTAGCTTTCCAGAATCACAGGTATATGCCACTGTACTTGGTCTTGGTCTCTTAGGTTTTTGTTTGTTTTTGTTTTTTAAAGATTTATTTGTTTTTGTTCTGTGTGCATGAGTGCCTGAATGTAAATGTACTGTGTGTGTGTTGCCTAAGTAAGTCAGGAGAAAGTGTCAGATGCCATGGAATTATAATTCTAGACTTTTGGATGCTGGGAATGGAACCTGGGTCCTCTACATGAATAGCAGATGCTCTTAGGGGCTTTGCAATCCCAGCCTTTTAGACTTTCAAGAGCAAGCTAATCAATTTCTTTCTTCTCATCCCTTTTGGGTTTTGTCATAAAGACTCTAGTTGAGAATATGCAGGCTGAAGATCATTTCCTCCTTCTTATCTTCGGCTTCCATTTTTCTTACTCATTCATTCCTGCTCAGCCAGGACCCACCCAGAATGGTTGTATTTTTGCCTACACAGAACCTTCTTTTAGGGTTGTTTGGCTATCTCACCTTTTTGTCCTGTCCACAGATTGACGTTGCTGATCCAGGGGCAACTTCGTAGGAGCTGCTAAGATGGGCATGAGGATCAAACTGCAAAGCAGCAACCACCCCAACAACCTGCTGAAGGAGCTCAACAAGTGCCGGCTGTCAGAGACCATGTGCGATGTCACCATTGTGGTGGGGAGCCGCTCCTTTCCTGCACATAAGGCTGTGCTGGCATGTGCAGCCGGGTACTTCCAGAACCTGTTCTTAAACACTGGGCTTGACGCTGCCCGGACCTACGTGGTGGACTTCATCACGCCTGCCAACTTCGAGAAGATTCTCAGCTTTGTCTACACATCAGAGCTTTTCACAGACCTGATCAACGTTGGGGTCATTTATGAGGTCGCCGAGCGACTGGGTATGGAGGACCTCCTCCGGGCCTGCCACTCTACTTTCCCAGACCTAGAGAGCACTGCAATGGCTAAGTCCTTGACCAGCACCCATGACAGCCAGTCTGTTACTCTGAGTTGTCCTTCAGTAGACCCTGCCCACCCGTTTGGTCCCGATAGAAACTATATGTTGTCTGCTGATGCTGGAGGGAGCTATAAAGAGGAAGAGAGGAATGCTGCAGGGGATACTAGTCATAGCTTGGCCCTGCCACAGCTGCCACTGCCACCAAAGACAGAAGACCACGACGCCCCTGTTCCGTTTACGTCTGTTCCCAGTATGGCAACCCTACCGGTCCTAGGCACTGCCAGCACAGGCATCCAGACCAGCACGAGTTCTTGCCAGCCATACAAAGTTCAAAGCAATGGAGACTTCAGTAAAAACAGCCTCTTCACCTTGGACAACGCCATAGACTCTACACCCAGGACCAATTCCTGTCAGAGCAATAGTGACCACTCCAGAGATCCAGGCTTTGGGCAGATGGAGGACCTCCAAATGGAGGAACTGGGGGAAGATGATTTGCAGTTTGAGGACCCGGCTGAGGACATTGGGACAGCGGAGGAGGTGATTGAACTGAGTGATGACAGTGAGGATGACCTGACTTTTGGTGAGAGTGACAGCCGGGAGAGTAAGGCCATGCCCTGCCAGGTATGCAAGAAAGTTCTAGAGCCCAACATCCAGCTGATACGGCAGCACGCCCGGGACCACGTAGACCTGCTCACAGGCAACTGTAAGGTCTGTGAGACCCACTTCCAGGACCGAAACTCCCGGGTGACCCATGTCCTGTCCCACATTGGTATTTTCCTGTTCTCCTGTGACATGTGTGAAACCAAGTTCTTTACCCAGTGGCAGCTAACTCTGCATCGACGGGATGGCATATTTGAGAATAATGTTATTGTCCACCCTAATGAGCCCATGTCTGGGAAACTGGCTCTCTTCTCAGGGGCAGCCTACCCTGAGTTGAAATGTGCTGCTTGTGGGAAAGTGTTGGCCAGAGATTTCCATGTGGTCCGAGGCCACATCCTCGAGCATCTGAACTTGAAGGGCCAGGCCTGCAGCGTCTGTGACCAGCGCCACCTCAACCTGTGCAGCCTCATGTGGCATACTCTCTCTCACCTGGGCATTTCAGTCTTCTCCTGTTCGGTCTGTGCCAGCAGCTTTGTGGACTGGCACCTCTTAGAGAAGCACATGGCGGTGCACCAGAGTCTGGAGGATGCCTTGTTCCGCTGCCACTTATGCAGCCAGAGCTTCAGGTCGGAGGCCGCCTACCGCTACCACGTCAGCCAGCACAAATGCAGCAGTGGCCTTGACACTCGGTCTGCTTTGGGGCTCCCACACCTAGCCCTCCAGAAGCGGAAGCTGCCGGTGGCTGCAGAGGAGTTTCTCAGTGAGGAACTGGCTCTGCAGGGCCAACCTGGGAACAGCAAGTACAGCTGCAAGGTGTGTGGCAAAAGGTTCGCCCACACGAGCGAGTTCAACTACCATCGGCGGATCCACACAGGTGAGAAGCCTTACCAGTGTAAGGTGTGCCACAAGTTCTTCCGAGGGCGCTCAACCATCAAGTGCCACCTCAAGACGCACTCGGGGGCGCTCATGTACCGATGTACCGTCTGTGGCCACTACAGCTCCACCCTTAACCTTATGAGCAAACATGTCGGGGTGCACAAAGGCAGCCTCCCACCTGACTTCACCATCGAGCAGACCTTCATGTACATTATCCATTCCAAAGAGGCTGAAAAGAACCCGGACAGCTGACTGGGGCTCAGCACAGCCGGAGGGGGCTTCCAGGCGGCAGCCGGGATGCTGATTCTTTAGAGGCTGTTGGACCTTCCTCAGCTGACGCTCCAGTTTTGCCTTGCTAGGAGTCCTGTTCTGTCTTGTGTTGAGAGAAGAAATAGCACATAAGCTGTTACTGTTTTTGAGAGGCAACAGCCCTGTTACATTTACCTCCATACCTATTCTTGCCCATAGAGGGCAGCGGTTTTGATAATTTTTGAGGCTGGCTTTAGGATCTAGTCAAGTGGCCCTGTCACCTGGGTCCCTTTGCCAGTTTCTCTAGTTGTAGTTTACTGATAGGTTTTTATGCTGCTAAGAATCCGACCAACAGCCTCACTGAATAGCAGAGGTGGGGACAGGTTTTCACTGTGGCTGTGAGTACCAGCATTCGGGCGGGACAACAGTGGGAAGATGGGGGAATGTGGCCATTCAGAAGGAACCAGCCTCAGGGCAGCTTATCTCCGCTCCCACACCCTCCGCAGCGGAGACAAGCCCTCAGGAGCTGCACTGCTTGAGCCACAGCTCAGTCTGACTGGACAGTGGAAGTCTCACGGCAGCTAGATCCACACTGAGGACTGAGCCTTCTGTTTTGGTTGGAAAGCATTGGGTGTCCCATGGTGCCAGCAGATGGGGCAGCCTGGATGGAAGAAGCGGCTCTCCTTTCCCCTCATTTCCAAAGAAACACGGTTCTATAGAGTGAGAACCCTGGACGTCAAACCTTTTATCAGGAGCAGAGAGGGCAGAGCCACTTCGGTGTGGCCACCTGCCACCTGGCCTCCGTGCGTCTCCCTAACCTTGCATCTCGTGGGCATAGAGATGTCCCTCAAGCAGCAGTCTTGCCTTAACTTACATCAAGTCTCCCACTCAGGATGGTTTGACCTACGGCATAGATGAGGAGACCCTGTGAGGTGGTGGATCATGAGCTCTTTGGGATTAAAGGAACCTGAGTAACTGGTATATAGCAGGATGTGCTTTCCAACTGTCCCAGTTGGGTAACTTGTTTACTTGGTGGTAAAAATGTGGGAGTTTGGCAGTTCACCTGCTGAAATTGGTTCCGGTCTTTCATTGCATCACCTCCAGGGGGCACTCTTGGATGGCAGCTGGTTTGGGCCTCCCCTGTGGCTGTTTGGCTTCATTCTTAGTCTATGAAGGGGTCTTGCCCAGAAAAAAAAAGGGCTAAAGAGGACCCTTGATCTTGCATACTTATGGCACTTCAGTAGCTCATACTACCTCACCCTGCTCAGGTGAGCTCTGAGAGTCCCAAATTTTGGGCTCAGCCTCTGATGCTGCCCCCAAGTGGTACTCAGCAGCACCCTGGGCTGTTTCATAAGCAAGTGGTTTTAAGTAACTCACAAAGCCTTTTTAGACATTAGTATTTATTTATTTTTTTCTGATTTGTATACACGTTACCCAGCATCTCTTTTTGATAAGCAGCTTTAGGAAAATTAGTTTCTCTCAAGCAAGGAGCCATATCCCAACAGGTCGTTACATCTGTGGGTTGGAGGATGGGGTTAACTACGAGAGAGTGTGCCGGGCCTTTTCTGCAGCACAGCCTCTTCAGGTGTAGTCTCCAGCAGAACAAACCCCAGTCGAGTCACACGAAGGTTTTTGCACAGTTTTTATCCTTCTGACTTGGGGAGCTTCCTGTCTGTATATTAAGATATGGAGGCGGACCAAAGCTGTATCCTGTTGGGCTGGCCGTCTGCCTTTTTCTCCAGCCTTGAGCTGAGAAAGCCTGTGAGTTGGTGCACGGGGCTTTCTCGTGGGCTCAAAGGCCAGCTTTCGGTATCTAAACCTGTGACATTTCCATCAGGAAGTCCTTGCTGTGTGACTTTTAGTTTCTGAGTTCCCATTTTCTTACACTGAGGATGCGTAGCAAGCTACAGTTCTGCGTCTGCTGAGCTTTCCAAGTCTTTTCCAGCAGAGGCTGCGAATGGTTGATTTGAGAGGGGTGGTACTCAGTGGCTCTCAGGGCACTGATGGAGGAGAAATGGTTTTCCTTAGCATGTGGCATCGTGGATGCTGGGTGATCTGTGTACTTAACTTGAAACTGTGAAGTTTTCCCTTTTTGCCGTAAACCAAAAAGCAGATCTTTGAAGTTTTGCCCCTGAAACACTAAAATACAAACTCTGTCTTCTGATCACAGAAGCCCAGTTGGTCCCAGTCAGACATGTAGCAAGCAGACATGTAGCAAGCTCATGAGGCTCATTGTCCAAACCATGCCTCTCCCGTTCTGTGTTAAGTTGTATTTTCTTTGCCTGTGCCTAGTTCATCCTTCTCTTGAGTTGATTTACTTGAAACAACATGGCAGTGAAGGGTACTCAAGGATCCCTGGTGGAAGGTGTTCATTTTACTTCACTTTCTCCTTCCTTTTGGATTCCCCTTTAGCTCTCTCCCCTGCTGTGGTGGTCTAGAGCTCTTTGAACTCTCAGTGTTTCATCTCTGCCTGTCCCCCCCCCCCCCCCCCCCCCCCCCCGGTTTTTTTGGTTTGTACTCAGGACCAGCTGAACAATTTTCAGAACTGTCTTGTTCAGCAATCATTAGGACTGTCTGCTTGGCTTTTTGAAGAGCATCAAGCCAGCCTCTGGGACAGTCCTAGCTTCTTTCCTAAGGGGAAATGGTAATGCTGATGTGGTGTGCTGGCATCAACATGGGCTGCTGTGGCCAGGCAACAGATGTGTTCTTGCATGCTGGTGACCCCTGGTGGCTCAGTAATGCCACAGACTGGCTGGAAGCTCTCCTGAATGAACCCCAGTATTTGGTTCTAAGTTTTAAGATTCTGTCGAGTCCCCACAGTTGATGGCTAGTTGTGAAGAAAAGAAGTAACGGGGGCTCAGGAACCAAGAAATAGGTGAGAATTATTTTTTATTTTATTGTGACCTATCTCTAGCCCTTTGTCTACAGGGCAGACCTGTAAACTTCAGAGCTTTTTACCTAGGCAGGACCTTACTACTGATTACCTTCCTTTTCTGGCTTCCTGCTGTGCCCCTTCCACCATACTCTAAGACTACTCAACTTGGAAAGTGAGTTTAAGTCCCTGGATAGATGGTACTGAATTTGCTGGCACAGGAGCGGGCCCCTGTGAAGTGGACCCGGTCTGCCTGAGAGTATCTAGATGTCCCAGTTGCACCAAACAGCTGCATAACATCCCTTTCAGTGTGACTCTCATAATCCATGTCACAGGAAAATGATGCAGAGACATTTTTCTTGCCAGTCCCTACCTGAGTAGCTCAAGTCTCTTCAGAAGCGGAGAAGCTGTTGCTGTCTAACTCCTTCCATTAAGTTAAGAAGTATTGACCTGATATTTAAGTGTTTACTATCTGCTGTAAAGTTTTGTATATTTTGTAAACCTTTTTCCCCAAAATAGTAGACGTCTAAAATCGTACATCTGATTCTTTTATATTCCGTTGTTCAGCACAAAGTGTGGTTTTTATTTAGAATAAAAAAGAGAGTGAGATTAAAAAGAGAAAAGAAACCTGAAGTGGGAGTTGTTTCTCCACGTCCACGCACATTTGCTCAGACTTCATCTGCTCCCCTCAGGGGCTTCCACCAGTGAGGCAGATGCCAGGATTCTTTCAGGCAACACATTGTGTTTTCCTGTGGCTGGAATTCCCCAGGATCAGCTTGTTGACTGGTTTTTAGTGGGAAATGATTCAGTGTTCGAGGGAAAACAGCTCTGAGGTGATCTACCCGGCCTCTGTGCAGGTCTCAGTACAAAGTTAGGAAGCAAGGTGGCTCTTGCCATCCACTTCATGGTGGAGTAGTGTGTCTGAGTGGGAGGCAGCTGGGGAGGGAAAAGAACCATCAAGCAGGAGGCAGAGGCTCCATTTTGTTAGGTAGAATACAGGCCTGTGGTCCATTTGGTCCCAAAGCACATGGCTGAGGCTGGAGGCCTGGCCGATCATCTGTGCTTGGTAAACATCCACTGGGTAGACAGCCTTGTAATCAGTGTGTCTAGTTTCTACTCATCCCTTTCATGGATGGAAAAGCCCTTGGAAAAATGCATTCTGGTCTCAGGGAGGTGACTTCTGTGGGTGCCTTTGTATAAGATACAGACCAGCATACAGGTGGGCATTAGGGCTTAACTCACATTGTTTAAAGAAAGTCTTTTTAGTTCAATTTTTGCATTATTTGGTTAAATTTTTTTTTTTTTTACTGCACCTTAAGCTGCAGCTAAGGTGTCTGGGTCAGCAAGCCTTTGGCTCTGTCACTGAGTCGCTGTCTATAGCTCAGGACCCTCTTAGTTGCAGAACCAGTGAGCGGAGTCAGTACTGGTTTCTCCTCTTCAGGGTTGATAGACCTGGGTACGTGCACCATTGGAGCCTGTGGGGAATTTTTCAGGGAGCGCAGGGTGAGGTTTCTAAAAAGCAAACGTGGTTTCTGGTTGAGTAGTGGTTCAGCCTTTCAGGCAGCTAGGGCGGCGGCTGAGTTGTGAAGTCTGCCGCACACATGGCAGACATGGTAGTGGCGTGCATCTGCAGCCTCAGTGATTGAGGGCCGAGGTAACTGCTGGGTCCTGAAGCTTGCTGGCCAGCCAGGCCAGCCGAGGATGAACTCTATGCTCAGAGACATTCATAACATAGAAATTGATAGAAATTGGAGAGCAATTGAGGAAGATGTCTGATGTTGACCTTTGGTTTTGGTATGCACATTCACACACATGCACACGTCTCCAACACACACAGGTACGCTGCTGGTAGAAGAATCAGGAGACAGATCAGAGGACAGTAATAGGGGCACCCATTACCAGAGCAGACTGTTCTCCCAGTGGGTTCCAGAGGCCAAGGACGCAGAAAGCAGGAGCTGCATTCTGAAGCTTTCGCTTTGGTCTTTCATGTTCACTGCCCCAATTTCCCAAGTCTGGAAAATGAGCCTTTGCCAGAGGACCAACTTTTTAGCAAGAGGACATCTTTTCTTACTTTTAGTTCCAGTAGACAAACTGCTGAGCAGGGGAACTATGAAAAGACTTGACTAGTGAGAACTCGATGTAGAGTTCTGGAAATCGGGAAATCAGCCTTTGGCCTTCCCTCTCCCTATGTGGGACAGTGGCAGAGTACTTGCAGTGGGCTCTCTAAGTGTTCTCAGAGTGATTTTTTATCCTTGATAGTTTGCTGTGGACTGGAGAGATAAGATGGGGGTGGGGTGGATGGGATCACTGTTGGCTGTCTCCCAAGAAGATAGAGTGTCCTAGGTTCAAAGCTGGGAGGTCTTCGGCGAGGAGGCCACTGCTGCCGGTAGAGGAAGCAGGATGGGTGGGAGGAGGGGAGTATACCGCTCCGCACGGAAATGGAGCTGCGTTTCCTGGATGACGGGGTGGAAGGACCGTCCTGCTGAGCCAGCTGTAGGGTGCCTGCCGAGACCTGGCTTGCTGGCTGTAACTACCCCCTCCACTTATCACACGGGATGACTGCACAGCTAAAGAATGCCTTGCTGAAGCCACCCGGGTCCCTGGCCTCTGGCCTCTTGTTCCCACAACTTGCATAGTGAAGCTGGAAGATCAACAGGCGCACAAACACAAAAGGAAAGCTTTGCAAGGTTCCTGTGGGGCTCATTCTTTCCGGCCAGAGTGATTTATGAAACAAGGGCCTCTAGTTCCCTCTGCAGAGCATCTCAGCCTCCCTGCCTTCCTAAACCCAGCTGAAGCACACAGTTCTCAGACATTCCCAGCACAGCTGTCTCCACTGTTTATTTCTTCTGCCCCACACCTGTGTGGCTCCCTTAGCCGTGACTACCAAAGATGGACCCGTTCTCTGCTCTTTCCAACCCTCTCCCTCTCCCCACGGCAACATTCCATATGCTTAAAATTGACCCTGAAGAAGCCAGCCCTCCCTTTCCCCCTCCAGATCTCTTGCTTACCCCTTTGGAGTTTGTTATTGGTGGAAGAGCCTGGAATCTACCTTAGCTGGCTATGGAACTGCAGAGTGTAGGTGAGGTGTTTGGAGGCAGAGAGGGTGCCGGAAAGTTTTGGATGGGTTGGGAGTGGATATTTGTTGCAGCAGGCAGGCTGTCATCTTTGGTAATGATGATGGAGTGCTGGGTGGATGACGAAGAGGAGGCTTGCCCGCCCGCTGCCCTGGCTTGCTCCTTGGGGAGGTAACGGACCACAATGCTCAGGAGCCTGCCCCGGAAGCTTGAGCTAAGAAAGTTGTAAAGGATGGGGTTGGCGACGCAGTGCAGCATGGAGAAGCAGTCAATGATTTCGTAAAAGAAGTAGAGCAGGTTAACCAGGTGGCAGTGAAGGAAGATGTGGGTCGCATGCAGAGTGAGCAGCAGCGTGGTCACATGGTAGGGTAGCCAGCAGACTACAAAGACCGCTGTGTAAGCCCACAGCAACAGGCAGTGGCGCCTGCTCTCTGACCGTTGTTGCCTCCGAAGCCGGCAGGCCGATAGAATGTTGAAAACTGCGATGAGAGGAAAGGGCAGTAGGAAGCCCAGGACGGTAGCAGACAAGGACACTGCCAGGGCCCAGGTGCTGTACGTTTCAAAAGGTGCCAGGAAGAGGCACATGGGCTCAGAGCCGTCCAGCAGCTGGATATGCACAATCTCAGGCAAAGGGATGATGGCCGCGAGGACCCAGACGCCTGCGCACACAGCCCTCCGTACTCGGTGCTGGTGGCGCTGCCAGGAGGGAGAGGCATTGGTGAGCGTGAAGTAGCGGTCGATGCTCAGGCACGTGAGGAAGAAGATGCTGCTGTACATGTTGGCAAGGGAGAAATAATGGATGAAGCGGCAGGAGAAGCTGCCCCAGAGCCAGGTGTACTCCAGCATGACCTCCAGCATCCAAACAGGCAGAGATAGGATGATGCCCAGGTCTGCAATGGCCATGTTGAGAATGTATAGGCTCAGCATCCCCGCCCGACCTGAGCGGTGCCAGTTGACACATATCACCAGGACGTTCTCCACCAACCCCACCACGAAGATGGCCAGATAGAGGACGAAGAGGACCACTTGTTTGGTATTCTCGTTGAGGTCCATGTGGCAATCAGTAAAGGTGTGGTTGAAGAGTTGGAGAAGCTGTGTCCAGTTGTGGATCTCTTCAAAATCATTGTTGGGTGCCAAGGTGGGCCCAGGCCCAGGACTAGGTTTGACTGACATGAGGACCAACTAATGTCTGTTGGAAAGAAGGGAGGGTTGGAAAAGAGAGAGAGAGAGAGTTCCCCCTCCTCCCTAGGGCAGCCTCAGTCTCCCCATCTAAAAGCCCCAGGGCCCTAGGGGAATTCTGGGGCTGATTCAATGAGAAAAGTATGTTTAGAACTCAAACTCTGACTGCTTAGGTTTAACTTAAAAGCAGACATTTTGTAGGAAGATGAATGGTAATTGTACTCGAGGTTTCTTCTCAGAATTGGCAAGCCCAACTCACCACCAGCCCCAGTGGTTTCTAACTTCTACTTCTGTCTTAGACTTTACTAACGTGGTGCAATTTTCATTAGGGGCTCCTGCTCTGCCTTTCTATTTGTTTAGAGGTGTGGAATACACAGACACACAGACACCCACCCATCCCTCATACCTCTGAGTTGCCCCTGGGAAAAATCTTTCCCATGGGAAAGCCATTGTCTCCAATCCCTGCCTGCCATCTTCCCAGGGAGGGGGCAGCACTCACCTGGGTTGCTCCTGGAAGCACCTGCCCTGGAGAGGCTGTGGATGGGGCTGTTAGCTACAGGAGGCTGCAGAGGCAGTTCTGCCTCTGTCGGAGCTGGCTCTGCTGCTGGCTTCAGGCCGTTCTGCTCGTCAGGGAAGTAGCTGTCACAGGCTGAGGCTCTGTGGGAGAGGGCTGGGGTGTTTCCTGTGTTCTCCCAACCCAGTCCAAGGGGATGGACATCCCAGAAAGACTGACAGTGTGTGTATGTGAGGGGGTGGGGGTTGAGGGGGGGTCAAGCCTGACTGCAAGCAGACTCACTAAGCATGCGAATTAGCTAAGCTTCAGTTCTTGTCACCTCTGACAGCGGGACAACCACAGGATCTGTGAGACCTCAAGGCAAACGAAACAAAACAAAAAAGACCTTGTGGAAAATTTCTTTAATAACGAAAAAAAAGATGTATTTTATGTGTATGAGTTTATTCTGCCTGTGTACATGCATGCACCATGTGTATGCCTGGTGACTAAAGAGGTCAGAAGAGGTCGGATCTCCTGTAACTAGACTTGTGGATGGTTGTGAGCTCCCACATGGGTGCTGGGAACCAAACCTGGGGCCTCTGCAAGAGCAACACATGTTGAGCCATCTCTCCAGCCCCCATAGCAAGTTTCTTATATGAAACAGAAATGCATGTTTTGACTTTTCCCAATGGCTTAAAGTCTCACTCCGCACTGTGTGTCTAACAGAACTGGGGGACAAGGACAAACGCACACTGAAAATCACCCAGGCTTTCACTTGTGGCACCTCTAGGGGTTACGCTCCCCATCATGACCCTTCAGACCTTCTGCTACTGTGGGGAGCCTCTCAACAGTTTCGGGCCTAGAGATTGTCTTTCTTGCATCAGGCACAATGTCCATACATGGCAGACCATCAAGACCTGGGTCTGTGTTTTGTAGAATGTACAGCTACGGCTCTGCTGGCTGCCAGGGATTAAAGGTATTTTTATGAAATTCTCATAACAAGATTTGTTTTTATTATTTGTGCACGGGCACGTGTGTGTGTGTGTGTGTGTGTGTATGTCATGTGTGTGCTAGTGCCTAACAGATTCCAGAAGAGGGTATTGGATCCCTGGAGCCACAGTTACAGGCAGTTGTGACTCATTCCATATGGGTGCTGGGAAGCAAACTTAGGTCCTCTGAAAGGGCAGCAAGTGCTCTTAGCCATCTCTCCAGCCCCCAAATTAACCATTTTAAATTGTACAGTTCAATGACATTCAGTACATGTAGGCTGGCTAGTCTTTGCCAACTTGACACAAGCTGGAGTTATTTGAAAGGAGGGAACTGAGAAAATGCCTCCATAAGATCAGCTGTGGGCAAACCTTGAAGGCATTTTCTTAATTAGCGATTGAGGGGGAAGGTCCTAGCCCATTGTGGGTGGCGCCACTCCTGGTCTGCTGGTCCTGGCTGCTATTAGAAAGCAGACTGAGCTAGCCATGAGGAGCAAGCCAATAAGCAGCCTCCATGGCCTCTGCATCAGCTCCTGCCTCCAGGTTCCTGCCCTGTTTGAGTCCCTGTCCTGACTTCCTTCTATGATGGACTAAAATGTGGAAGTGTAAGCCGGATAAATCCTTTCCTCTCCAAGTTGCTTTTGGCCATGGTATTTCATCACAGCAATAGTGAGCATAACTAGGACACATGGACACCTCTAAGTCTTCCTTCCCCACCCCCAAAAGCCCTACACTCATTAAGTCATGTCTACTTCTTCACTTGCCCCCTGGAAACCACTATCCTTTCTGTTGTTATTGCTTGTTTTGAGTGGCAGGAAAACTTTGTGGAACCGCTTTAGACTCCATAGACTCCAGCCTTTTCTCTCCTGAGTCTCTATTCCATGGCAATGCCGGGTCCAGTGGGCAACAGTGACACCACTTTGGCTGGCAGGAGCCTATCTCTGGATGCTTTACTCACATTCTGGTTACTGCCACTCAAGAAGAGCTTTATGGGCACATGCTGTTCTTTTTTTTTTTTTTCCTGTGGTAAGCATGGCTGGTTTTCAGGATGGGTTTATCAATTCAGTTACCCTAGGCTTCTGAACTGACCACTCCTTTTTGTCCCCTTGTCTCTTCATTTTTTAAAATTAATTACAATTTATTCACATTTTTATCCCAGCTGTAGCCCCCTTCCTCATCTCCTCCCAATCCTGCCCTCCCTCCCTCTTCTCCTCCCATGCCCCTGCCCCAGTCCACTAATAGGGGAGGTCCTCTTCCACTTCCATCTGACCCTAACCTATCAAGTCTCATCAGGACTGGCTGCATTGTCCTCCTCTGTGGCCTGGTAAGGCTGCCTGTCTGTCCCCTCCCCCCCCCCCCCGCCCGAGGAGGTCATCAAAGAGCCAGCCATCGAGTTCATGTCAGAGACAGCCCCTGTTCCTCTTACTAGGGAACCCACTTAGAGACTGAGCTGCCATCAGCTACATCTGAGCAGGGGTTCTAGGTTATCTCCATGAATGGTCCTTGGTTGGAGTATCAGTCTCAGAAAAGACCCCGGGCCTAGAATTTTTTGGCTCTGTTGCTCTCCTTGTGGAGCTCCTGTCCCCTCCAGGTTTTTCTATCTTCCTCTTCTTTCATAAGATTCCCTGCACTCTGCCCAAAGTTTGGCTTATGAGTCTCAGCATCTGCTTTGATACTCTGCTGGGTAGAGTCTTTCAAAGATGTTCTGTGGTAGGCTCCTGTCCTGTTCCCTGTTTTCTTCCTCTTCTGATGTCTATCCTGTTTGCCTTTCTGAATGAAGGAGGACCCTGGGAAAGATGCTCTGTTCTTTTTTTTTTTTTTTTTTTTTTTTTTTTTTTTTTTTTTTTTTTTTTTTAGAAGGAGGCCTGGAAATATAAAGCTAAGGGCAGCTTATCACCCTATCATGTTGGGGGATATCAATGGCATTTATCATTCCTAGAGACTCAGTTTAGCTAACACCACTCAACAAGCACCTCCAGACCTGGTACCCACAGAAAGAACACTGCCGGGACAAAGCTGGGATGTCCCCGTCAGCAGCAATAAGCAGCTTCTCCTGTGCCCTTGATGAGGACATGCTGCCTGGGGATTCCACACTGTCCCTGTGACACTTTCCATACAGGTGACATGGATTTCTTTTGTCCATAGATTGGGGCTAGAGGGAGGCTGGGCTCTCATCTGTGACTGAGGTAACCCGCCTGCAGTCAGCTCTCTGACCATGGTGCTTTACTGGGTCTAGACATTAACTGTAAATGGAATCATAAGACAGTGGATCTTTGTGCTTTTTGTTCTTTGTTTATGTTCCCAGGCCTCCTTCACATTGGAATATGTGTCAGCACTGAGTTTCCTTTTAGCTATGTAAGGTTCCATTATATGTACATACCACCCATAATTTATTTATTCACTGTTGTTTGTTTGTGTGTGTGTGTGTGTGTGTGTGTGTGTGTAGCCTTGGCTGTCCTTGACTCAATTTGTAGACCAGGCTGTCCTTGTATTCACAGAGATCCACCTGCCTCTGCCTCCTGAATGTTGGGACTAAAGGTGTGTGCCACCGCCGCCTTTCATTATGGTAAATCCAGATAACATTTATTAACTATCATTTTAAAGGGTCCGGTTCAGTGTCGCCATGCCACTATCATATCAGCTCCATGGAAAAGGAGATTGTAGCTCTGTGACTCTCCTTCCTCTCTCCCCCTCAAGGGTTTTTGGTCATTTTAAAATCTTTAAACTTATTTTTTATGTGCGTGCGTGTGTGCATGTGTGTGTGTGTGTGTGTACATGTAGGTGTGTGTGTGTACATGTAGTGTGTGTGTCTGCAGAGACCACAGTATCAACTGTTTTTATCTATTGCTTTCCAATTTACCTTAAATGATTTTATTTCAGCATCAGTGTCTGTGTGTCTCTGCATGTATATGCCACAAGTTGTGAGTGTCCTTGAATTCCAGGAGAAGGTGTCAGATCCTCTGGGGCCACAGTGACATGTGGTCTGGTAGAGCTGTCTTAACCGTCTCTCCAACCTTAGTTTTTGGACTAGCCCTCTAAATGTGTAAGGTAGCCCCAAAGTAAATGCTTGTTTTTATGAGTTGCCTTGGTTGTGGTGTCTCTTCACAGCTATAGAACAGTTGACTAAGGCACCATTATATGACTCTACCTCTATTTCTGGGTCCTCCCTTGTATGGTCAGACACAGAGAATCCAGACCACTCAGTCCCTAAAAAGAATGAAGTCTCAGTTGAACTAAGACTACAAAGCCAGCAGAAGCAATTAGGGCAGCCACAATTTAAGAAGGAATGGGTGAGAATTCTGCAGATTTTTAAGGGTGGATTTTTTCCTCTTTCATGTGTGAGTGTGTGCATGTGCGTGTGCACGTGTGTCTAGGCTTTTTGCCAGCCTGACGACTCCAGTTTGCCTTCAGCAGCAGGAGCGGCCACCTTGAAACAATTCCTGGAAACTTACTTTCTCACTCCCTGCCTAACGGCACTTTTTTTTTTCCTACAAAAGTATAGGCAAGTCAGTATAATCAACATTACAGAGGAAGGAAGGTAGGAGGGAAGAGGAATTGAGGGGCATAGATAAGGCTGGCATCTCCTCAGGGTTGGCCTTGGCCCTGCAGAGAGGCTGAGACAAGCTGTCCCAGGGTCCTTGCTGACTTGCTTGGCCTGCTTGGTATGGGCAGGTGGGTAGTGGAGAGGTCAAGGCTGAAGACTTTAGCAATGGTTACGCCACCCAGCGTGAGCTTCCAGAAGTCTACCCACTGAGAAGCTGAGGATGGCCTCAGAAACTACATTGCCCTCAGGCTCCCCAAAGAATGGACCCACCTCCTGTGTCCTTGGCTCTTTGGGCTCAGCTCCGTTCTGCTCTTCAGGAGACAACACAGTAATAACAGCAACCTGGGGATCAGAACTGATTTTACTTATTCCATCAAGTAAGTCTCTGCTGCTATGTGGCGCCGGGCAACTCAAGTTTTCAGGGTCTCCATTTTTTGTTTGTTTGGTAGGATAACGATGTTTCCCTCATAGAAAAAAGTACAGTAGATTGTAAATGTAAATTGCTATGAGCCTGGAAGCCACCATCTCTGGTCTCCACACTCACCAGCCATTTTTCCCTAAGTTGGTTACCTTTCTCACATAGAAGGATAGGAACAGCCCCAAAGGCCAGAATGAGTCACTGGCAGAGGAGACGTCAGTGACAGGAGCAGCTAACATTAACTGAATAGTTGCTATTTTTCAGACACAGCTGGAAAGGACATTATCTCATAGATGAGGCGACACACAGGCCCGGGTCAAGCTGCTTAGCAGTTCAATAATCCTGTATGGGTTGCTAACTAGCACAGCAGATTCAGACATGGATGCCCACAGAGCATGTCTGCATACACGAATTCTGTCTGCTATGTATAGTTTTATCAGGACTTCCTTAGATTCTCAAAGGGGTCCAAGACTTCTAAATGTCAAAAATGACTGTCCATGGATACAAGGTGGGATAAAAAGATAGAACTGGATGGTTAGTTTTGGAGGTGACTCAGCTTTGGAAATCCTGGGAAATCTCCATGACACCTGTGCATTTGAGGTGCTCTGGAAAGGGCCCTGAGAAAGGGGAGGTGAATAGCTTTGTTTCTCTTCTATAGCCCTCCACAAGGTGAAGAACAGCTGTTTACTTACTCCCTGCATTCCTGAGCGGGTAGGAGAGGGGGAGTGGGGAGGGAAAGTGCAACTCCAGGGAAAGGAAAGGGAAGCTTAGGGGGACTGATAAGAGAAGCTAAAGGCAGCAGATACCAGCTTCCCGTCCTCCATATCGAACCACCCAGAAATCTCCCAGCATGCTTCACTCCACCTTTGAACCTCCTTCCTTTCCCATCTCTCCCACAGCCCCTGTTTCTTTCTCAGCTTCCTCTACCTCCCACAGCTGTTCTGTGGGTGTCTGACAGCCTCTTGCTGATGCCAGAACTTTTCGATTCCTGCTAACAGAATTTTCTCCCAATTCTGCAGTGCTTCCTGTGGGCCTTCAATTTCTGTCTGCTGATGAAGTCATCTAGTTTCTTCTGCATTATAAAGATGAAGAAAATAGAGGCTCTAAGGAAGCTCATACTGTCAGGCAAGGCATGAAACAGGTACAAGTGCAAAATCATCTACCTTGTGTGGTGCTTAAAACACAAGAAATGGCTGTGAGACTTCTTTGTGGGTCTCCAAGTCCATCAAAGCTCTTGTGGCTAGTGCACTCAGATTACCATCCATGTGCCTTTAGTCAAATGAAGCCACACTCCCTGTCTAGCTCCAAGGGAATGTTGCAGAGTGTGGAGTCCTGGGAGGGGGCTCTGAGGTCTTTCTAATGGACACAGACTGAATACTGTGCAAGGTTCCACCCGGAGCTGCATACCAAGGGCCTTCTCTGGTGAAAAGAAAGACAAAGGGGTAAAGAAGTCTAAAATACCCTGGCCTCCAAGTCCCCTCAGACCCTCAACCCCCTCCCAGACCACTTTTCTGAGGGAAGAGAATAGATCTAGCATAGTAGGTCTTCTCTTCCCTTCCTGTAGTTCTGAATTTTCATTCCTGGGCATTCCTAGGACCTATTCCCTTTCTTTCCTGTTTTGTTTATGTGCTGTTTAGTTCTTTGTCAACTTGATACAAGCTAGAGTTACTGGGGACAAGGAGCCACACTTGAGAAAATGCTACTATCAGATTGTCTGTAGGGCATTTTTCTTGATTAATGATTGTTATGGGAGAGCTTAGCTCTCACAGGTGTCACCCCAGGGCAGGCAGTGTAAGAAAGCACAATGCGAGCTATAGAAAACAAGCCAGTGAGAAGGGTTTTTCCATGACCTCTGCTTCAGTTTTTGCCTCCACGACCCTTCGGAGATGGTAAACTGTGAATCAAATACACCCTTTCCTCCCCAAGCTGCTTTGGTCATTGCAAAGTAGGGCAGTGTATCTTGGAAGTCAGACTCTGCTCTAAGGTTCCCCTGCTCCACCATCTCAGACAAGTATTATTCCAGGAAAACAACTGATATCTTCTTGCCCTCTCTTTTGGCCTTTCCTGTGCTCCTGCAAGAAACAGCAGTGTTGCTGAGTGTTGTAGTCAATGAGGAAACATGGGTTCAAAAAGGAATTTCATTGTAAATTTGTCTGTAGCCCATGTAATAATAGCATTCTACCTCTGCTCAAATGCTGCCAGGCTGTGCACATAGAGTTGGAGTTTGGACCTTGACTAATGTGGGTCATGAGTCATTTGGCATAGATGGATCTGCACAGAAAGTCTTAGAGGAATGGACCAATTAGGAAGGTGTTTCTAAGTAGGAAGTACCCAAGAGCATTTGTGTGTCAGCAGAGAAAATCAACTTGAGGAGCAGGATTAAAAAAAAAAAATAGAGTGTTCTAAAGAAATATTACTGGAGAGGAACAGCAGGCCTCCTTGCCAGAAGCCTGTAGGCTAGCTGCCTGCCTACAATAGTCTTTTGTGTTCTTATTTTTCTCCTGTCTGAAAACAGGGCATGTTAATTTTCTATTGAAAGTGTCTGTGCTTGTCCTTTGCAAGCCATGTGGCTCTACCTGGTGGCACTAGTGGGCTTCTGGACTCTCCTGCGCTTGTTCAGGGAGAGGCAGGCGGTGAGCCAT